GATCGGGCCGGGGATGAGTACAGGGACGGGAAGGGAAAACTGTGAATATGCATCCAAGGCCCGGACGACGAAAGGCAATTGACGACGTCTGGAGTGTCCAGCCGGCACATTCCACCAGTTGGCCTCGAGCTGGAGGCGAGTAAGTGGATGGGTAGCAGGGAGACGCACTATCCGTTGAAGTTGGCGGCAGTGGGCGAGAAGACGTTGAAAGCTCAGGGGCCATAGCCCCGACTCGGCATGAAGGGAAAGAACTGGCGAGGAGGGCATAGCTCCTAACGCTGAGCGAAGGGCACCATTTGAATGGGATCCAGCCTTGCCAAGACAGATGCTGCTGCTGAGCCATAGACTTCACTCGCATACATGATCTTGCTACGAATGAAGGCCTTGTAGAGAGCTAGGAGCGACTCCCGTGAAGCCCCCCAAGCCGCACCAGAGACCCGTTTCATGATGTTCACGCGACGAAGGCATGAGGCCCGAAGGTAGTCGACATGGTGCCTCCACGTCAGCCGAGGGCCATCTAGAACGACCCCCAGCCACCTGTGTTCGGTAGCGATCGGGAGACGACAGCCCCCGAGGGTCACCACTGGCTGGTCTGGTAGGCGGGTCCAGGTGAAGCTCATGACGCAACTTTTCACAGGGTTAATGGAGAGCCCCTTCCCCAGCACAATTGCTGAGAACACAGTCACGGCATTTTGCAGGGAGCCTTGTGCCTCTAGGAGAGTGTCACCATCCGCCACGAGGGTTACGTCATCGGCATAGGCTAAAACCTGGACCCCCCGGAATACAGGGAGATCAGACAGAAGAATAGAGAATAGTAGTGGGCTCAGAATCGCTCCCTGAGGGACACCACGCGAGACAGGGCGGGACGTAGAGACGACTCCACCAACCGCCACTTTGAATGAGCGGCCCTGTAGATAGTTTTGGAACCACCTTAACGCCGGACCCGAGAGACCTAGTCGAGCCAGACTCTGAAGGACAGCAGAATGAGAAGCAGAGTCAAATGCACTCTTGATATCGAAGAATGCTGCAAGGAGCACTCTTCTCCGTCGATAAGTGTCCATTATTCGATGTTCCAAGGAGAGGAGGCAGTCCATCGTGCTTCTTCCCGGCCGAAATCCACTGATACCCTCAGGTAGGAGACCTGAGGTTTCCACCACCCATTGTAGCCGGGTGTGAACAAGACGTTCCATCAGTTTCCCGAGACATGGAAGCAAACTTATGGGCCGATATGAAGTCGGGACAGACGGATCCTTCCCTGACTTGGCCAATGGTAGAAGAATGGCGTGTTTCCAAGGGGCAGGGAAGACACCAGAGGACCAGCAGGCGTTGTAGAAGTAAAGGAGGTGGGACTGAAAGCTCTTGGGTGCCCTCCGAACAAATTCATATGGGACGTTGTCTATTCCTGGCATAGTGCCCGACTTAGAGAGTGACAGAGCGTCCTTCAGCTCAACAGATGTAAATGGGCGATCCAGGTCCTGAGCTAGTCCTATACCCTGTCGGGAGCCCCAACCTATGGAACTCACAGAGAGGAGCGGGGAACGGTAAACATCTTCAAAGTGGTCAGCCAAGAGTTCGGCTATTTGTACTTCCCCTAGGCCCCCATTACCACTGGGGTCTCTGAGTGGGATGGTAGGCCGGGAGTACCTACCTGTCATCTTACGAACAAAGGCCCAGGCTCCCGCAGAGGAGGAGTCGAATCGGAGAGAGGCACAGTAATTAGCCCAGGCCTTGCGTTTGGCAAGGAGGACTGTTTGTCTACACCTGGCGTCCGCCCTGCGGAAGGTCTGCCGCTGCAGTGGAGTAGGGTGGCGCCGCCACGAATTCCACGCACGTCGCCGGTCCAGTACTGCCTGCCGACATTCAGGAGTCCACCACGGTGCCCCACGGCGGGAAGGATTGGTTGTCTGGCCACTAGTCCTCCTGAAATGCCGAGAGCCTACACTGAAGAGGGACTCGGAGAGAGCATCTGCTGACCCATGGAGATCTGCAGTAACTGGGGGAAGGGTCAACCAGTCATCCGCCTCATAGCCATGCCACCCCTCTTCCGAGAAGATCCATTTGGATCTACGGGAGGTCAGAGCAGGACGAACAGTGCCCCCGAAGGAGATGACGATGGGCAGGTGATCACTACCCAGGTACGGCCCGGTCCATATCTGCGCCATCGTGAAGGGGCCTCTTCCAATGCAAAGATCGAGTGTTGAAGTATGGCCATTTAGCGGGTCTATCCGAGTTCCCAAACCTGGCGGCGTCAGTAAGGAGAGGTCTGGGGAGTCAAGGAGAAACTGAAATAGGGCTCGGCCAGCCATGTTGTGGTGGCGACCCGATAGCATGGGTTGCCATGATGAGTGCCGAGCGTTAAAGTCACCCATGACGAGGCAGGTGTCTGTGATCTGACCAAAATAGTGTTCTAGTTCCTTCTTCGTTACCGGTAGACAGGGGTTATACAGAACTCCAAAGGTGCCCCACCCATGGGAGAGGGCGACCTTCACTGCCAAGAATTCTAAATGTCCACCCGGGAAGGAGTGAATCCGGAGCAAGGAGCTGGGAACTGAGTCCCTGACCAAGAGGGCAAGTCCCCCTCCACCCCGTACTGGCCGATCTTGTCTATAGACAGAATACCCCGGCACTGTGAAGGAAAGATCGTCTGTAAGCCAAGTCTCACAGAGTCCCACGATCAACGGTGGTGCGCTGGCGATAAAATTGCGTAAAAATTGCGTCTTCTTAAAAAGGGAGCGGGCATTCCAAAACACCACAGTATTCTCAGGATGGGGCGCCATTATCCTGAAATACAACAGCTAACTTTTTGACCACCAGTGCACAGACGTCTCCAAAGGGGGAACCACTAGAAAAAGCCATAAAACCTTCATACAAAGTAAGTAAAATATGTGGTATCAATGACTTCCAGTCAAGAGGATGTTGATCTATGTTTCTCTCTGCCTGACGGAAGCGGTGGTCGGCTCGCGAACTCTCTTGACGGCGTCTGCGACTGGTGGGAGCCTCACTCTGGGCCTCATGTTCCCCCGGTGTCACAATCCCTTCGGAAAGTGCCTGGGGGACCAGAGGATCATCAGGGCTGTCTGTTGGAGCAGTACCTCCTGATCGATGGGTGTGTCGACGACGCCGGTGTTGGCTTCTTTGAGGAAAGGCAGGAGGGTGACGAGTGCTAGGCTCCGGCCGAGACTGAGCGTCCATGTCTGTATCCGTGGATGAGTTTCCGTCAGTGTCAAGGCTACCCAGGAGGGAAAATCGATTAGCAACCTGGGCGTATGTGGCATGTGACTGGGACAGGCAAGAGCGTCTGCTAGTTCCTACTTGTGAAGAGGCCCGACCAGGGGGAACCTGGAGGCGAGAAGAAGCGATAGGCTGATTGAGGGTACGCAACTTCTGGAACAGCTCATGTCGAGGTGTCCCCGCTGTTTTGTGATCGATGTCCAACTGGAGGGCCTCAAGATATACAGGGCAACTCTTAGACGTAACCTTATGATGGCCATGGCATAAAAAGCAGCGGGGTGCAGCAGAGCACCCACCGTCATCTCTGTCTGAATGGCCAGTTTTGCCGCAGTTTGCACACCGTGCTGTATTACGGCAGGTCAGGCGACTGTGGCCCAATAGATGACAAGCGTAACATCGTAAAACAGGGAAATTGTAGGGCTGAACCTGATACGAGGTCCTGTGTAGTGCCACTCGGTCAGGGAGGTGCCCATCGAACTTTACACGGACCATGGATGTCGGCCCTGCTGCTCCGCGAATCCTGGTAACTTCCAATAATCTCACTGATGCACCCCCTAATACCTGCAGAGCGGCCTGGATGTCATCCACATCTACACTCTGGTCAATTGGGCCAATCTTCCCATACCGGGCCCGAGACTCCTCCTCCTGCGACAATACCTGTCGGCACCTGACAGGCCAGTCCCCCAACTTATTAATGTCGGATACACAGATGTGTGATAGAGCCTCCTTTCTGATATGTAGCTTGAGTGCTGCACCCCTAGCCGACCTTGTATTGTTGATATTAGAATTGTTGTGTTATTGCATGCGTACATAAATACAAATATATATTGTTTGCTGTGACACCCAAGTGTCACAGCGGACTATTTATACAGCATATCATAAAGTGTCACCCAAGTGGATGAAAGTGAAATTTGCTTCGAGACTTGTGTGAGATATATTCATGAGTTGTTGCATTCTTGTACAGCCACTAGTACGCGTAGCGTTTCGGGCAGGTCCCTGGAATACGATTCCCCGCCGCGAAGAATCGTTTTTACAACCAAGTACTCATTTTACTGTTGAGTTAAACAGAGGCTACAGTTAAGGATTTGCGCCCAGTAAATCCTCCCCGGCCAGGATACGAACCCATGACTAAGCGCTCGCGGAACGCCAGGCGAGTGTCTTACCACTACACCACGGAGACTGAAGTGACACGGACTCTCAAGGAACTTCACATTGGTTAAACTAGGAAAAAATTAAATTATACTATTTTCTCTGTATACAGATTGTATTTATGTTTATCTGAAGCTTTTCGCATCAGACAGGATAGTCTAAAGAAGGATAGGGGGGTATATTAACCCACATTATGACCTTTCTAAGTCGTTAATATTGATTTTTCTTTTAATTTTCCATTTTATTGTCGTGATAAGACCTAACGAGTTGTAATCGCTATAAAATTCCACTTAATAATGTTTGCGGTCGAAGGAAAAAAAACGCTTAGATTACTTTAACATAACTAAGCTATCATCTTGAAGGTTTTTAATGATTCGAATAATATGTTTGCATATCAGAATTGTCGCATTATCAAAAGTTTATCGTAATAGCTATAACGAAATAATAAAGATAGTCTGTAGTCTGTCCACTACGGGCTCACCATAGCCCGTGCTACTTTGACATTCTGTTCCGAGTAGCTGAATCTAAAACAGCAACAATGGTCTGTATTGGCCAAGTGAATTATTCCCGCAGAAGCGCGTCGTTTACTTCTCCTGTGTTACAGGGCCAAGACGGGAGGAGGCGGGGAAGCAGCAGGAGGTGGTGAAGGGCGTGACGCAGCTGGGGACGGTGACGATGGACGGCCTGAAGGACAAGGTGCTGGCAAAGACCGGCGGGAACACCTTGTCGTCGGCTGACACAAAGGAGAAGCTGAGCGCTCAAGATGTTGTGAGAGAAGAGGGAAGGGACCTCGGGAGACTCCTCACTGAGGACAACACCGCCTCCAGCGGCAGTGAGGGGGGACTCGCTCATTCCCCCAAAGACTATCTTCATTACGAAGAAGTGAGTACATGTCTTTATCCCGGGCTGGGTTGGAAATGGTTGGGCGCGTTTCCTATCACCTAATGCTCCTGTCCTCCTAGCAGCACCTTGTTATATGGTTGCATCCTTTGGGAGGGTCAGTAATTCGACCCTTGGAGAGGGGGTGGGGGTGGGGGGTTAGAATCTCGATATAATGTATATATATATATATATACACTGGCTGCTTGTCCCCAAACACAATGAATTATAATTATGAATTATAACTTTTGCTGGGAACCTGTAAAAGCAGGGAAAGTTGTACACTACATATTGTATAATTATGTACAACAAAGTCAACACTGTCTTCGACCCATCTCTATATGTGCAGATGAAGAGTCACAATAACGTGGCTGAAAAATGTTGACCAAACCTCACACTAGAAATTGAAGAGTCGACGACGTTTTGGTCCGTCCTGGACCATTATAAAGTCGAAACGTCATCGTCTCTTCAAATTCTAGTGTGGTTTGGTCAACATCTCTATATGTATACATATTATAAAATTTTCTTTTACTCTGTTCATTATTCACTGTTCGTTGTGTTTATTTGATTTTGGTGGACATATTTGCATTTTGGATATGTTCCATTAACTTTTTTTTTCCAAACAACTTTTGTTATTTATATTTGTTTTGTGAATGTAGTCATAAGACAGATTTTGGAGCGTGTTTTATATTTTAATAAACGTTACAAAAATGAACGCTGTTTAAAGTTGATTAATTGTGGTTAGTATTGATGAGTTAGGGTATTAGGCAAGTACAACTGTTGTTCTGTCAGTTTGATGACGAAATCATCAAAAGTGACGATTCTCCAAATTCCGAATCAGAAGAGGTTCTCCTAGTGAGGTCGAGAAAGCTTCATTTGAGAAATAAGCCCCTGATAATGGGCCGGGCCTATTACTTTAAGGGGGCAGTCTTGCATGCAAATTTTTGTTTTTTGTTTTTAATATTTAGGGACTTGTATAGTTTGGTGTTGGCCTTAACGCCTGATGAACCCATGAAGGGTTATTAAGGCAGTAACAATAACTTACTGACCAATCAGCAAGTGTACTGTAGCTCTGGACATAGTTCAATAGGCTACAGTTCACTCGCGGGGTATATACACTTTGAAGCATGTAAGACCGCTCGGTGTATATGTATATATATATATATATCCCGGGGCTGTACATTTTTTTAATTCTATGTATTTCCAATGGGGCAGCCGGGTAATGTTTCTAGTCTATCATGAGGCATGGAACTTAGCCTTTAACGAAACTGATTCTCTCATCGAAAAATTATCGTTTGAAGATTTTTTTTATTTATATTTTTGTGAGCATATTTATAGAGGTGATTAATCTTTGAATTGGTGATTAATCTTCTGACTATGACTTTGCTTCTCCCCCATACCAACCTACCCTGGCTTTGTGCCCTGGAGAGGTCACACCAGACCGACAATCAGAGCCCAACTCCACAGTCTCCTGAGACTGATGGATGTCTACCACTACTATCCTGTGTTGGAAGCAAAGTCATAGCCAGAAGATTAATCACCAATTCGCCTATGTATACGGATTAGGTCGGACCCGGGATTTCGCCATTATGAGCCAAGAATGAACTCAACTGTACTATCGAACTGAACTATCCTCCCGGGATAGTTCTCATCAACAAAAGACCAAAAAAGCTCGTCCTAGTCAACAATGACCAAATACTCGTTAATCCAGCCGCCAAACCCCTTTGTTTAGGAATGAAAAACAGTTTACACACGACTCACAACTCACGACGTTCGAAGATTTCTCGAAAAGTATTTCGTTGACGATCTCTGCTTGAATCACAACGCTGTAAATACAGCCCGTCCTCTACACAAAGACCCCAAAGTACATTCCATGCACCCGCCAAACCCCCTGTTTATGAATAAAAAGCGGTTTACACACGACTCAACTGATGACGTTCGAACACTTCCCGAACAAGTGCTTCACTAACGAATTTTGTTCGAATCACAACGCTGTAAATGCTTCACCCGCGTGCTACAAATACAAATTATCGCCAACAGAACCTAAACACCTAACTAAACTTACGCCTAACTATACATACAATTTTAATATATAATAATATTAATTTATATATCAGAAGAAACTTATTTTTTATTACACAAGACGTAAAAATTGCTAAATGAGTTGTGTGGAGGGAGGGGGGGGGGAGGGAACGGTACTATCAGGGAGAACGCACTAAGCCATTGCGACTATATAGCACTTGGAGGGGATCAGGATAAGGATTAGGGATTAGAGTTTAATATCATATTTCTCAGGGGTTTCGAATTATCTTCTTAGGCCTAGATTTTGTCTTTACTTTTGGCTAGTGGGAAAACTTACGAAGATGGAAATTTCAGCAGATAGTTGAATCTCTCGTTACTTTTGACGGGTTTCTTGTTGTTGCTATCTAGGTTTAATCATTTCTTTGCATGCTATAAACTTAAATGTTATCTGGAAGATAATTATTATACAATAAACGTATAATGGAACATAATTTAGTACTTAGCCTCAAGGGACCGCGATAAACCTCGCTAATATTTCTAATTTTAATATTTTTCTTTAGCTACCCCCTACTAAAAATAACATTTTCTCTAATCTTAAAGAGATAAGAAAGCGTAATATGGGATAACTATTGATTCTCTGTGGGTCATTGCTAATATTTTCTTTTTAATATTTGATTTCCTTTTTTCATACCAGTCAGCACACAATCGAATTTTCCCAGGCAGGACGCCCAAATACTAGGGCTGGATGGAAGATCTACGGTGTCCCTTCTTGCAGGTCGGCGTTCAATCCCCGATCGTCCAAGTGGTTGGGCACCATTCATTCACCCCATCCCATCCCAAATCCCATCCCTGACACCCCCTTTCCATGTACTATATAGACGTAATGACTTGGCAGTTTCCCTTGATAATTCAAGGGAAAGCTTTTGGTAGTGTTTCTTGGCTCTTTTTATTATCTTAGCATTAAAAAGTTCCTTTTAGACGCTTCTTTGGAAATGGTCACTATTCGTTATTTCTTCCATTAGTTATGCTGTTTTGTTTAAGTAAGCCTTTAGTAAACAACGGGTTGTTTATCCATTTGGTTGTGACCCGTTTAGTTTGCATGCGACAGTGAGTGTTATTGTGGCTTAGGGTTTTGTGGAGAAATAACTGCACACCTTCATAGAGGGTTTAGCAGACTACCGAGTTCAGTCTCCAAGTTTATGTTACTAACAGTGACAACAAAGCTGCTCATGGAAGCTTCTTTGTGCTGTCTAAAGCATATCTTCTTTGTGCTGTCCAAAGCAAATCTTTATTGTTTCTAAGGGGGTTTAATAATGCTGGTTAGAAAATATGTTTGGTAATGATCTGTAGTCATGTTTGTCTAAGTGTGGCCATGGGTGAAGGCAGTTGTTTCGGTAATTCTGGTGGGTTTAGTGATCATGGGAATTAGCCATGCAAGAGTTCACACACATGAAGAAGACATGTGGGTTACCAGGCTGGCAGAGGTCTTTGTTAGTATCCCCTAAATAGTATTAAGGGATTTTTCTCTAGTTGCTTAGGCATATCTAGGTCTCCCCTAGAGCCTAAGCTAATTGTTGATCTTCTCCAGGGTGAGACTTCCCAGTTGCCTAACTTCCTTGCATGATTCTCCATAAAACTTCACGAGGAAAGAGAGGAAAAACGTTGTTATAAGGAAAAAAGGCATCATATGTAATGATGATGCTAGTGAAAGAGCATGATAATAATGAATAATAATATGATTTCTCGAAAACATTATAAGCTTTCCCTGGGATGTTCAGGTGTTTTCTAACAGGAGTCTGGTGCAGTGGCCACTTATGGTGTTCTCCACAGACGGTAAACTTGGCAACTGCTTCAACAGTTACGCAATGGCTCTTGCCTACAATGGTCGCCATCCCACCACGGTCGCCGTGACAGAGCACATCTTCAAAATGGTCTCTGGGCTAGTTGTGGCGGAGCTTCTGACCTTACCAGTAGTGAGTGAGTATTGGAGACGTGTCACACTGACTTTATTTGTATTTAACTAACAGTGATTTCCTATAAGTAAGGCATCCAGGCATGCGGAGTTACAGCTCCGCTCCTGTGCCACGTAAGTCCACCTACGGGCTCACCATAGCCCGTGCTACTTGAAACGTTTTATTCAAAGTAGCTGAATCTAAAAACAACAAACCACCTATAAGTGATTCTGGGGAAGCGAGTTCCAGCTCGCTATGCCCCCGCTAACTAACCCTTGTTGTAAATGTTTTTAGTGTTTTAGTTTATCTATTCTGACGCTCAAATTCAGTGGCAAGTCTGGTTTTCAAGTTATGGATGGAGGTGGCTTCCACAACTTTATTTCAGTGTATTCCATTTGTTGACCACGCCCGAACAGGGTATGAGAATTTCCTTACATTTCTTCAACTCGTTCGCGTATGCAGCTTCCACTTATATCTTCTCGCCCTACCTTCTCTCACTTTAAAGATGCTTATATATATTAGTTTATTATTTATGTTGAGTCTAGATGCTTTCTCTTATTAGGTCGGGATCTAATACGAAACGTTAAGGAGTTTGGCTTCGCCGAGACGGTTTACCCTGACTTCGTTAGAGACGACATGGAGAGCCACCTGGAGCCCACCTTCCAGAGGGCCGTCACGGAGTACCACAACAACGCCATGGCGAAGGTCTTCATCCTGGAAGGTGAGTTCAATCCTGGAAGATTGATCGAGAAGTAGAGACGATGATGACTGAATCACTGGTGATACTGATCCTGTACTAGATAATGATTCAGGCCTGGGTAATGGTACCATTATCCAGGCCTGATACTGGTCCTGGATTTGATAATGGTCTAGAACACAGCCAAGTGTCTTGACTTTTCCAATTTCTAATGTGTGGACCTAATGGGTTTCCGAGCGGCAGCAAATATAATGATCTAAATGGTCAAGACGCGTGTTTGAGGATCCTCAAGACGTTGGTACGATCCTCCCATCCTGCCCTAATAATTTTCCCACAATCACTCCATTGTGATTTTCTTGAGTCTGTGATCTAAATGGTGTTCATCATCATCATCTGATGATGATGAAGAGTGAGTCAGGGCTGTAGACGTGACGTCGGGGATCACATGCCAGGTTTGGGGATGTTGGAGATCATGCAACATAGAACGTCGCTTTTCGCTCGTATGCGTTACAAAAGGCCAAATATTGTCGCGCTAGAAAATGGAAGCGGCTGGCGAAAGTGACGTACTGTCCCGTTTTCTGTTTTGGGTCCTCTGGTAGGTTAAGATAGTGACCTAAGGAGGACGGGCTGGATCATGAAGGTAAGACACTATGTTTGTTGAACTAGAAACAAGTCCTTTATTATTTTGATTTATTATTTTATATACTTTATAATATGATTCATTATATTAATTTTAATAACCTAATTATCAAATAAGTGTAATATGCATATTGAACATTTTAATTATTTTACCTTCATAAAAACATGCCAAATTAGTAATACTTTGATTATATGCCCGAAACGCTTTGCGTAATAGTGGCTTTAGGCATTGTATGTACTAGCTCTATCTATAAAGCCAACAAACTTTGTAAATCTCTTTATGTATGTACCTTACCTAAATAAAGATTATTATAATTATTATTATTATATATTTTTTAAAGATAATATTTATTTATATAAACGAAGGTAATCTGTGTCACATCAATATTGGAGAGTGAATGTGTTGAAGAGGTAATTCCCCAAGAGCAGTCATAGGATGAAAGCTACGCTCGCGGTGTCCCGTCTTCCAATACTCTTTGTCCTATAACGCTTTGAAACCGTGTCCCCTCCGGCAGGTTACCCGAAGCCCATGAAGATGGTTGCTGAACGCCACCACCTAATACGCACCACCTTCAAGATCCGACCCAATCATCAGGCAAAAGTGAGAACGGAGACCTTTCTCTCTCATTCCTTTGGCAATACGTGTGCACCCTTGCACTGGGGAGGAAGGTAGGTATGAGGCACAGAGTCTAGACTCAAAGACCAGACACTGGGATTCAGAGTGGACGTCACTCAGTAATACACTAATATATCACGGCTCTCTACGACAATGAGTCGTGACCCTTCACGCAGGCGGGAAGCTACGACTGCTAAGGGACCAGGAGGACTGGGACACTTATCCAGGGAACCACTTCCGGAAGCAGACGCTGGAGGCGAAGAGGTCAGACACCTTCAGTTTTGGTGATTGTAATGAGGACATCTGTCCGCAGCCTCTGAGAACCGACTTGAAGGAGCGCTGGGTGGTATACGACCAGGTAGGTAGTATACGACCAGCTGGGTGGTATACGACCAGGTAGGTAGTATACGACCAGCTGGGTGGTATACGACCAGGTAGGTAGTATACGACCAGCTGGGTGGTATACGACCAGGTAGGTAGTATACGACCAGCTGGGTGGTATACGACCAGGTAGGTAGTATACGACCAGCTGGGTGGTATACGACCAGGTAGGTAGTATACGACCAGCTGGGTGGTATACGACCAGGTAGGTAGTATACGACCAGCTGGGTGGTATACGACCAGGTAGGTAGTATACGACCAGCTGGGTGGTATACGACCAGGTAGGTAGTATACGACCAGCTGGGTGGTATACGACCAGCTAGAAAAAAATATGTTACGGAGGGAAGGAAGCCCCAGCTGTTTTAACTGGTCTCGCAGAACGAAACGTTGCTCTTTTGTTTAAGTTACAGAAGGTTTCTCTATACTTTATAATAGCCACAAGACCTAAACAAAGCAGAGTGGTCTGCTTCCATCAAACTATTTGTTGTTTGGGATGTTATGTATATTAGTCTCATTAATTCTTTCATCATTATTCTTCATTCTAACATCCATAGTAAACATATTCTGTTTTTTCTTGCATATTCGGTTTTTAATACAATTATCTTTTAGTTAAGCTTATATCGTTCCCGTTTTCTACGATGAATATATTTTCTCTTTGAATCTTTCTCCTAAACGTCTCATGTGGAAAATGATCTTATGATACGTAATATTTTTGTGGTATTCTGACAATATCTTACAATGTGGTTATCTCATGTGTATTAGTACTCACAGCCATCGTCGTACTCACAGTCATCGTCGTACTTACAGCCATTCTTCTTCACTCAGTCATCGTCGTTTTAACAGATACGCTCATTCTTTCAGGCTTCGTCGTTCTTGGAGAGCGCGCGAGCGAGGAAGGGCGACAACGTCACCTTCGTGGGCGTCCACGTCCGACGGGGCGACTATTTGGACTTTATGAAGGTCTGTGGCTCACGGCAAGTCCTCAACTTACATCTTCAAAGTTCATTTGCAATAAGTTGATTATATTCTTTAAATTGTTAAATTAAATAGCATACACAGGCTCTTCTCCGTGTCTCCTCCCGCTCAAAACTTACATATGCTCTACCCCCATAACCTCTCTCTCCTAGTACATACTTTATTCCCTGTCTCTCCTCTCCACGCTCACACACGCCTTTCCCCAGCCATTGGAACCAAAAGGTTGTACCAGAATGCAAATTTGTCATCTGAATATACATTTTAAATGTCAATATCTAAATTCACCATTATTTAAACCAATGTTAAAGGCTACGGACTCGGTGCATAACATGTCACTATCACAGGCTTCGTGAAGGAGGAGCATTAAGGGGCCGAGCTCTCTTCTGGGAGGATCGGGGCTGATCCCGATCCCCTGATGACACTCATGATAAGATCGTCATTAATAACGCAAAATTTCATGAGGCTAGTCCCGTAGCATCTGACCTTCATCCTCATACAGACAGACCTTTATCCATAAAGAGTTTTAAGGTAGCTGGTATGACTTCCACACCCAGTATCAGCAAACTTTCACACCTGTAACCAGCCCACTCCCACACCTGTTCCAGCCCACTCCCACACCTGGTACCAGCCCACTACCACAACTAGTACCAACCCACTACCACACCTAGTACCAACCCACTCCCACACCCGATACCAGCCCACTCCCACACCTGGTACCAGCCCACTACCACAAGTACCAACCCACTCCCACACATGGTACCAGCCCACTGCACGCCTCGCGTCCAACTCCACAAGCCTCTAACAACCGAAACTCCGTACAGCGTCAAGTATATATTATTTCAACAGCAGAACTTTTACCACTGCCCACTGCCGGGACCCAAGTATTTGGTGGCCGCCATGGACCTCTACCGCACCTCCCAAACCAACCCGGTGTTCGTAGTGTGTTCGAACGACCTCCCGTACGTCCGAATGCATCTTCCGGACGCCAGTGACGTCATTTTTTCAGGTCAGGAGGCATTTGTACTCAAATATGCTTTGGATGTTGTTTACGATGTGGCTAGGAACATTTGGAACATTTGATAAATTTTCACCTTTTCGTCACATTACATCTGCTGAAATAGCTCCCTAGTACCAAACCAAGTAAGAGATTACGTGTCTACTGGAAGAGTAAGAATGTTTTTACTGATAACAGTGGCATAAGTAAGGCTTCAATTACAGGTAGAGTTTGTTTGAAATAATATGTAGTTTGTGGCAGAAGGTGAATAAGTATGTTTTGCAGACATGGCGCTCCCTGAAGAAGACATGGCCCTACTGGCCGCCTGTTCCCACTCCATCATGACCGTCGGCTCCTTCGGGTTCTGGGGCTCCTACCTGGCCGGCGGACGCGTCATCTATCCCCTCCTAAACAACTGCTTTCACACGCCCTTCGTCCACCCGGACACCCTTGGGCCGCGGGGCTTCGAGAACTGGCTCGCCATCCCTCTCTAAGACCTCACGATCTCGTGGTGGTTGGGGGCACGCGGCCGAGGCTCCCGAATTTCGCAGAATTCGTCGGTTGCGAGTCGAGTCGAGTATTTAACTGAGAAAGAAAACGTCCCTGTGAGGACGCAAGGCCCCCCTGTGTGCGAAGAATGAGCTGGTTGCTGAGGTTCGTCAGGTGAGCTTCCCGCTCTACCCTACTACTCGCTGAGGACGCTGTGTGAGAGACAGATCCTCAGGGCTACTACTCAGGATCCCTATTGCCGTGTGTAGGCAAGATGAAGGAAGGAAGGAAGGGGGTTCGGGGGGATAAGATGTTACCGGTTACTCATTCTTAGGAAAATGACATTTGCAATTAAGTATTTTTTCCCCCCCCCCTTCTTTTCTGCCTATCTCTCTACTTCTCTCAGTTCCTGTTTCTCAATTCTTCCTCCGCCTTTCGTTTATTTCCCATCACCCTCCCTCTATCTATCTTTTCCGTTCCTACCTAAAGTAAAAAACCAAGGTTAAAAACTAACCTTAAATCTATTTAAGCAACATAAAAGTTACTTTATCTGCCATACAACTGTCTGTGTACACGTAATTTATAAGCCAAAATATAAATAAAACATGAACACTAATTTGATCTCAATGAACTGGACATTAGCAACAAGAATATATAGCAACTACAAGATACAATACCCAACACCAACACTCTTAATGAGCTGCCTTAGCAATTCCTCAGGAGTTAGATGTGAACCGAGCAGAGTGCCTGAGCCAACTGCCAAGACAGTCTGGTTCCTGCCGAGACGTTGACTAGCCTGTCTCCTGGAGGGCAGGTGGCGTAATGGGTAAACTATCGCGTCGGTGGTTAAACAATGCGTCCGGTCAAGGTTACAGGAATGGCAAAAAAACGTATGAAAACAGAATGCTGTGTTACATATCAATTTATATTATTATTATTTTACAAAATACACATAAAACATTTACATAAATTCCTGAATTGAGTTAGAGTTATTTATGGCTGTTTAGGAGAAGCCAGTACGCGAATAATAAGGATAATTATGTGACACGTTAAACAGGCTCCAACAACACCACATTAACAAGAATGGGAAGGGTGGATGAATGGTGGAAAAGATTGATTGTGAGACGGTCCCACCATCCCTCTCTTCATCCCTCTTTCCCACAATCCATCTCTTCCACCCCTCACCTGTTGCTCATGGATATTGTATTGACTGGGAAGTGAACAGAGCACATTTCCTGAATTTACCTGAGGGCAGCTATCTGTCTAATGGCCTCGTTGATGACAGGAAGCTGGCGGCTTGTTAAAGGTCCTCATTTGTCCTGACGATTTTTATGGTGATTAGTCTTGAATTGCAGCAGTGTTTTGGATGTTACGGCTTCGGTGGGTAGGCGGTTCCATGGGCTTATTACCCAGTGGGTGAAAAAGCATCTCCTGTTTTCAGTCCTACGTTGTGGCTTGTTGAGCTGGAAACCTTGTTGAGCTCTCTTTCACATCTGACCTTTTTTTTAGAAATTGTCTGGATGAACATCCTCCAAATTGTTCAGTATTTTAAAAAGGTTCAATGAGATCAGCCCTGTCATGTCTGGTTTGCAGTGTTGTTAGCCCTGTGGCCCTCAACCGTTCCTGGTATGAGAGTTGACTTAATTCTGGAATTATTTTTGTCTCCCGGTGTTGAACTTTTCTGCTAAGCAGATAAGTCTTTCAGAAGATGAGGTCTCCATGCGTGGATACAATAATCTGAGTTCGAGTCATTGCTTCGAACTCAGTCAGATATAAAAATGCCCCAAATACAGAGGCATAGTCTATATGGTAGTCGGGTAGTCTATATTTCGTACATACACATGATTCCGCTGGCCCTTTATTTTAATGATAGGGGTAATACAAATATTTACTTCAGTTTATAGCTCAGCGTAAAATGAATGGGTGACAGGAAGAATACCTAAGGTACCCCAAATAAATGCTTTCATTAAAACTCACGTGAAAGAAAACGTAGTTCCTCTGTTTACCTTAAGGTAAACTTCACTAAAGCTAATAGCTTGTATTTACTATTTGTACGTGCAGAATTGAGCTGTTAGTTCTTGGACACCGCGTTTCTAACCGACGGCTGTCTAATGTACTGACTCCCGATCTATATTTCTTTTTATCACATCTGCAACATGTTTCTCTCTCACTCTCTCTCACCTCCCTACAGTGCAGCCTATAGCAGCTGTCTGACTCTCAGGTATTTATTTACTGCTAGGTGAACAGAGGCATCAATTGAAAGAAACTGCCCATTTGTTTCTGCCTCGACCGGGAATCGAACCCGGGCTTGAATTTTAGCTCCGTGGTTCTGCCTCTCGGCTTTCAATCAACTGGTGTACAGGTTTCTGAGCAGACTGAACACTGAAACTGTCTGGAGTCTGCCTCCAGAGTCTCATTTTGTGAATTCCATCTGTCAACAAAGCTGACACTTAAAATATTATATGTAATGTCTCCGTTTCTCATTTTGGCCCTCTATTGTTACCTGTGTCCCCTTTTTCGAGTGCCACCCACGCTAAGTATAGTCTATCCTCGTCTTCCTTATCAATTTACCTGAGAATTTTGAACGTGGTAGTCATGTTTCCCCCTAACTCTCATAAATTCCAACGATGTGAGCTTTATGTAATCTTCCTATGTAAATCACATAACTCTTAGTTCTGGTTTATTTGCACTTCCAGTTCAACTCCGACGTTGAAGGAACGTCTTGCTACCTGTTCTAGCTAGGGACCACCGGACAAGGAGACACGATTTTCACCAATAGATCTAGATCAAGCATTCCTTCTCTACTGGCCAGATTGATACAACACCTGGCGCACCTGACCACTGGGGTTCGTAAAGAAGTTAATAGAGTTTTTCCTATTTTTCCATCGGGCCGAAAGACTGTGTCCGACGCCGGCAAGGCCGAGAGTTGACTGGTGTTTGTGGACTTTTTCTTCGGCTTCAGGACGTCTAAAGTCCCTCTAGTCTGAGTATCGATAGCTTTCTGTGGTTGGTGAGGAAGTCTGGTGTGTATCTTATGTTTGTCTCCCCAGAAGACACCAGGCAGGGGTCACCAAGCTTTCACTGACGGGGGGAGACCGGAGGGAGGCCGTATATCACTGAGTAATATACCTTCTAAATCTAAGTCTAGATTATATAGCATATTACATTAATAATTACGTCCTGTGCTATTATTATGACTTTCTCTTATGCAAATAATATACAGAAAGTTTGTATAAAATAACCAATTCATAAAATGCTGAACATTTGTATTTAACATTTTAGAATTTTAATAAGTAAATGGGCGAATTTATCGTTCATTCTGTGTCTTGATTGAATAGATCTGAAGTGTGATTTTCATCTTGTAAAGTTATTAATATACGATAAAGTTGCTAATAGAGTATAGGCTAGGCAGTTCTTGACACTTTTCACTTATCAGGAAAATATATATTTTCAAAAGTTATTTGTAAATGCATATAGGAGGTAATTGAGATATAAATTCCAGGATTCTCCTCACAAATCTCCTCACCGTTCAGGAGAGACGACGACCCTGACGTCTGGCGGCGTCACAATTCCTCCTTTTCTGAAGGAGGAAATATACTTAAGTCCAGAGAAGCCAAAGCAGCATGTGTGTGTGTGTGTGTGTGTGTGTGTGTGTGTGTGTGTGTGTGTGTGTGTGTGTGTGTGTGTGTGTGTGTGTGTGTGTGTGTGTGTGTGTGTGTGTGTGTGTGTGTGTGTGTGTGTGTACAGTAGCTGAGATTTCGCGAGTGAGATGTATATATTGAAACCTAATATCCTGATGTGGAAAAGTCAAATTGTAAATCCGAAACAGATACACGTAAATTTATCTCTCACGAGTATCAAACAAAACCTTACCTGACGATGCTGTGGAAGGAGAGGCCTCCCTGGCGGCGAGGACCTGGGCGTGGAGGTCAGGTAGGTGTTCCTTCAGAGCCTCCTCGTCCACGCCCTCCAAGTCCCCAGCTACCCAGCGCTTGACGGAGGCCGCAGCCGACGCTGCTAATCTGTCCTTGGCTCTATCCAGGAACGCTTGACGGGTCTCTGGTTCGCCCTGCAACGGGAGGATCCAGACTAAACTTCTATTTCTATCTTCCCGTTGCAATAATTTGCATATATGTTTTGTCTAGTTTCTCAACATATTTCGCATTATACTGCCGTGCTTAGATCTCTAGTTCAATCGCCTTCGACTACATGAAGCCTTTACAGTTTGTTTCTAGAAATCTTAAATATTATCTTTAACATTCATAGCAATTCGTGCTTGCCTAATTATGCTTGTGAAAGTTGAGATTTAGCTCTTCGATTCAACCTTGGAACTGGTGCGAAGGTTCCCTATTGGTATTTGGGTTCTGTAATATCTGCATTTTCATGTAGTGTCCTCCACCACTTAATTTCTTAGTTCTTATCCTCCACCTAAGTACTATTTTGACAGTTAAACATATTTTCCTATCTCTCCGTAGCTCATTTGGCTACGGAGAGAGATTACCAAAATATTTTTAGTCTCTTCCTGTCTATTTCCTTGAAAATGTTGTATGCCGCTGTCATATCTCTCCTACAGTGACGTCAGGTCTTTCCTCATATTTAAAGTCTCTCAGCTTACCAGCTAATTACATATATAATAATAAACAATAATAGCATATCATAGATCAATTTAGTATGGAGGCTGACTGTATAACATGATCACTAAATTGAAGCTTGAGAGTCCACGGTAATACTAGTGAAGGAGCATTGAAGCTGGGACGTCCAGAGTGAAGGCAGGGGAGTGCTGAGTGAAGGCAGGGAGTGCTGAGTGAAGGCAGGGAGTGCTGAGTGAAGGCAGGGAGCGCTGAGTGGCGGTAGGGATTCCACATTAAAACAATGGCGTGCACATTGATGGTAGAAAGTTCAAATTGAAAATAAACAATTAGGGTGTAGCTAAGGAGTTCACGGTGAATCTAGGAGAGTTGATGGTGAAGCTAGATACTCTAGAGAGAGAGAAGCAAGTGTACCCATTACTAGATATAATGTAGGTGTAGCACCTGACATGTAACGGAAATATCTTGAGCTAAGAAAAAAATCTTTTCTTATCCATGATTAATCTTAAAAATAAATAATTTAGGCTCCTTATATCAACTAGAGTGTATTTGATTGCTTTGTTATTTGTATACCTCTAAGACATCAGTCCACTGTTCCCTGGCCAGATCGTTCAGCTCATCCACCAGGCTGTCCAGGTGGTGGGTGAGGAAGTTAAACGTGTCCTGCGTCAGGAGGTTGGCGTCCCTGGCGGTGAGCACACCGTCTGTATCTGTGTCAAGGAGGGTGAAGACGGCCTGACCCACGGAAAGACATTCCTTCGGACAGTCTACCAGCTGTGGCAGTAGAGTCCGGTCCTGGTAGGGAGACGAGGGAGGGCTGATGGTATTATAAAGTTCAGTGAGGGGGGAAATTAAGGCATTTCTAATAAATCAATAAACTTAAGGCGTTTAAGGTCCGGGACTGAACGCCGACCTGCAAGAAGCAAGGCTACGATTCTACCGTCCAGTCCAAGTGGTTAACTCAATTTAAAAGCAGTAACTTAATTGCCAAGAAATGAACTACTACTAACAACGATTCGTAGTTATGTAATACATAAATTTATGTTAACTTCTCCATGAAACAATCATATATTACTCTGCTGATTATCGCTCTGCTGCTGCATTCGATTCCCTTAAACCACCTACGGAGACTTCAGTAGTCCCTGAAGCTACTGGCTGTGGCAGTACGAATACATAATCTTGTCTCCACCTACTATACGGAACTGGTCAAGGAAGGCTTGAAGATGGAGGCTGTGGTCGAAGAGGAGGTAGCGACGGAGCAGGTGGAGCAAGGGGTTACGGGCTCCCCAGAGAAGAAGAGGACGCTCTAGACTCCTCGGCAGCGCCTCCCACAGGGTCAAGGGCGTCCTACGGCGGCGGCCCTTCTGTGAGTCGCGTTTTTCTCTGCAAGGTTTGTATAACAGGCATCATCCATCAGTCACAGGAGACTATGGAGTTGCGCGGCGCTTATTCACTCGTCTTGTTCATAAGTATAATACAAGGTTTGTATATCTGACTTGTATTATTCTTATTAACACGACGAGTTATGAGCTTGTATAACACTGCAAGTCGGGAAAAAACGGAGCATATACCTGGTTTTTGGTGGGTAGCTGAACCTATTTATATATATATATATATATATATATATATATGCGAACAAGCCTGAATGGTCCCCAGGACAATATGCAACTGAAAACTCACGCCCCAGAAGTGACTCGAACCCATACTCCCAGGAGCAGCGCAACTGGTATGTACAAGACGCCTTAATCCACTTGACCATCACGACCGGACATAATGAGGTGATAGCCGAGGCTATTTGAACCACCGAGTGCCGGCGGTGGGGTGGTTCAAATAGCCTCGGCTATCACCTCATTATGTCCGGTCGTGATGGTCAAGTGGATTAAGGCGTCTTGTACATACCAGTTGCGCTGCTCCTGGGAGTATGGGTTCGAGTCACTTCTGGGGCGTGAGTTTTCAGTTATATATATATATATATATATATATATATATATATATATATATATATATATATAACTAATATTCAGTTGCATATTGTCCTGGGGACCATTCAGGCTTGTTCGCATATATATATATATATATATATATATATATATATATATATATATATATATATATATATATATATATATATATATTTAATATATATATTAAACATACATGATTAAGTTAAACGATCCCTTCGTTCCTAACATAAAGAGCCTGCGTGATTATAAAATAATTCAAATGAAAGGAGATAACCCTCCCTCGTTACGATTCAAAAGAGCATGCCTAAACCACCTTCACACGCAGTTCTAACGGTACTAAACTCTTCAATCATCAGGTGTAATAATTTAGAAACCCTTACCTCTTGTGTAATCCAGCGGAGGACTCCGTATTCCCGCCCGCCTCGGAGCTAGACTCCTCCTGCTCATCAGTTTGATAGAGGCGATCAATGACGTGTTCTTGGATAACCAGGTCCTCCTTCCACGTGAGCCAGAGGTAGGTGGTGTCCGCGGAGGCGACAGCACACCACTGCCTGAGCCATCAGGAGTAACTATGAGGCGAGAGCACTATAGGCCAATATGATCATACAGCCATGGGAGATAAGGTCTGGGACAGGACGGACGGACGGAAGGAACGGTGCCTAATTCCCAGGACCATTGCGACTCGAACGCCGGTCTGCAAGTAGCGAAGCTTCCGCCTCTACCGACGAGTCCAAGTGTTCGTCAGAAGTAACGTCAAGAAAACAATTGCAAAGACACATTTTTGCGCTCCAATAATCATGTTGTATAATATTGAAAGCAAACATGTGTTTTAAGTACTTCTGCAGACACTTAATCACCCTTCCGGGGGCTGATAATTAAACCAAAAACTAATCAAAAACACATTTAGAGGCACCATTCAACCTCATGCTCCTGTGTACCTAAATAATCGTGTAGAAACTGCTTGTTTTGCGACTTAGCAATTAAATACTTACGCAACCCGGCCCCCCTCAAATAGTACCTCACATTCTGTTCGTTGTGGTCCCCAACTTACAAATTACTGTGAAGAGCAGCGGCTTACAAATATCCCCGTTTTCTATGCCTCGGCAGGTTAGATTAGGTAGGGTAGCTTGGGTTCGTGCATTTCTGGTTACGTTAGCACGTTATATTTCGTACGTTGCCTAATATGTGACTGTGTTATGTGTTATGCCCAGCGAATCGTGAGCCATTCTTTATTTTTGACGAATATTAAACATACAATACTGGTTAAGCTTACCTAGAGCATTTGACCAAAATGAAAATGCTGGCTGATAAATGTTGAATATATTGATTCTTGCGATATACGGAATATTGGCTGATAAATGTTGAATATACTGATTCTTGCGATATACGGAATATTGGCTGATAAATGTTGAATATACTGATTCTTGCAATATAGGGAATATTGGCTGATAAATTTTGAATATATTGATTCTTGCGATATAGGGAATATTGAGCTGCAATGCCTTACTTTCCTCCAAGTTTATTTCCCGAACACATCTTTACCATGGGTCTGGCAGCGGTGGGGGTTATGGTCCTCCACTTTATCTTAATAATGCTCGAGAGCACTATGTAAATATCGTTAGAATTTCGTGAGCGTCACGCGATTTTACTGCAACATTAATGTTTATAAATAACAAATAAAAACGAAAAAAATCATGCGCGTAAATCATGGCTAATTTTGCGAGGTTTGTGTTTACAATGCTCATCAAGCCTTAAACCAATTGTGAAGATTATGTATATAAGCGTGTTTATGGCCACCTGCCTCAGCTCATCACGCTCTGGACTCAGCCCCGTCCTCCAAAGCTTTCCCTCCAACGTCAAGAAACTACCGTACTAAAATGCTCCTTTATCCTAGCATACCAGAGGACCCCCAAAACAAAAAACGGAACAGTACGTCACTTTCGCGCATCGCTACCATTTTGTAGTACGACGAAATTTAGGCCATAGATAGCGTATACGTCAAAATGCGACGTTCTGTTAGGAGAACGGGTTAGTGAACTTACCATCCGGGAGGGTTGTAAAGGCAGGCGCGAGGCTCGACGGACGCCCTCACCAGCAACGACTGAGTGGGGTCGTTCGTGGGGTTGGGGGCGTCCTCTCCTGGTGGCGGTGTGGGCGTCTGGCACCCTTCCTCCTCCTCCAGGCACTGAGGGGGGGGGGGGGGGGGCGCCGCCATGGTGCCAGAGATGTATGAGAGATATATCTCTAATTATCACGTAATACCCATTGACTGCTATCATTAGTTTCACCGCATCCTAATTATATTATCTTACAGTGAGTCATTTTAAATATGAGTTTCGCTTTTCAATCATAAGAGGAAAACTATTATAGAACAGAGGCGAAAAAACACAAAAATACAGCACCAAATATATAATCAAAATGCATATATATATATATATATATATATATATATATATATATATATATATATATATATATATATATATATATATATATATATATATATATATATATATATATATATATATATATATATATATATATATATATATATATATATATATATATATATATATATATATATATATATATATATATATATATACCTCCTACCTGGAGAAGCCGACAGGGAAGTGAGGAGGGCGTGAGTGTGAGAGAGAGGCGCCCCTCCACCACACACACCACAATGGCGCTGTCTCTAGCTCCTGGGCCGGGCTCCTGACCCTCAGACCCAGCCCGCCTGTGGTGAAGACCCTGCCGATGCCCAGGGATACGGTGACAGCTCGGAACTTAAGGTAATAATATAGATATATTCATATAAAAAATGATAATTCTGAAGACAAGTTATGCTGTAAATATAGAAATTCCTTCACGATAGCCAATGGTCTCTTATTCTGGGGTTAGAATTAATTTGAACCACTTACGAGGCCTGTACCTCTTATCTCTATGATGGCGTCTTAAGTGGGTAATTTACTAAAGAGATTACGAGCTCGGAAGCTCTGTGAGGGGTGTCCTCAGTATTAATGTTGATGATGCGCTTGTAATTTATAGTTCTTAAACTGTTTATTATATAGAGATTAGGAATACTTTCCGTATTGGCACCGTTTATATGTATGTTAAATGACCAGCTGAAAAACTTTAACAATTCTATAGAATATCAAATATAGAATATAGTCTCCTATTATAGACTAATTCATAGGAGTCGCTGGGAGTGGCGTTAGGAGCCGGTACGGTGTAAAGGGGAGGAGGAAGGGTGGGGAAGACACTGTGGCAGACCCCGACTGGCCTGCCTATACCACCCATGTGTCATCTTGAAAAGTTGGGAGAGACTAGCCCTAAGCGTCAGCCCTTTAACCTTGTGGCAGACAGATATTTTTGGAATAGATATAGATAATTGATGGAAGCTACCCATGTCTCCTTCCACTCTCTCTCTTCCCCCCCCCCTCTCTCATTTCTCTTCCCCTATCCCACTTCCATCCCCCCCCCTCTCTCCTTTTTCCCACCTTTCTCGTCTCTCTTCTTCCCTCTCTCCCTCTCTCACCTCTCTCCCTCTCTCACCTCTCGCCTTAAATTCTCCCATCCCCCCCTCTCCTTCCATCCTCTATACCTCTCGTAGCATCGCATCGTAGCGCCGTAGCGCATCGTAGCGTCTATGACGCATTTACATTTACGAATTTACCAATCGTAGCGTCTATGACGCATTTACATTTACGAATTTACCAATCGTAGCGTCTATGACGCATTTACATTTACGAATTTACCAATCGTAGCGTCTATGACGCATTTACATTTACGAATTTACCAATCGTAGCGTCTATGACGCATTTACATTTACGAATTTACCAATCGTAGCGTCTATGACGCATTTACATTTACGAATTTACCAATCGTAGCGTCTATGACGCATTTACATTTACGAATTTACCAATCGTAGCGTCTATGACGCATTTACATTTACGAATTTACCAATCGTAGCGTCTATGACGCATTTACATTTACGAATTTACCAATCGTAGCGTCTATGACGCATTTACATTTACGAATTTACCAATCGTAGCGTCTATGACGCATTTACATTTACGAATTTACCAATCGTAGCGTCTATGACTCGCTGTTGTTCCAAAGTCTTCGCCTGCTGATGACGTCACAAGTCAGGTAGCCAAGCCATTCTTTTGTGACTAATATATTCTTTAATATTTCATTATCACTAAACTGACAAATTTGTATGGTTGAAAAGTTCACATTTTGGGAGTAGATTAAAGTCACAACAGAATGTCAGAAGCGGAGTGCGTTTGGTGTACATCGGAGACGATATTGTTAAGTGGTGGAACAGTTAGCTGATTCCTTGCGCTGATTGGCTGTCGTGGTGAATGTCAACAAAGAGTTTCTACCAATGAGATGGAAGCGGCTGGAATGCTTCCTTCAGCACAACAACCCGCCTTATGGGCTGCTGTTGGCCTGTTGATAGTGCAATGTTCTGCCAATAGATGTCGCCATCTGTATCTTGCCCGTGGCCTGTTTGACAGTGTCATTTCATGCCAATAGATGGCATCAGCTGTATCTTATGAGCTGCTGCTAACCTATCCTGTTGATAGTGCATTTTTTTGCAGATAGATGGCCTCAGTTGTGTTTATTTACTTCAGAATTCCCCCCTTAAACACTGACGTACAAACCCCCGCAGCTTATGGTAAGGTTAAATATCCTACTGGCATTTTTAGGCATTTGTTATTATCACATTCCTGCATGGAGCTTTGCCTTTACTTTATTCATGCCTGTGGATACCATCATATTGCCATCTTTTACTATTTGTGATTGAAAAAGACGTCTGCCAATCAATTGGGTCAGAATTTTCTTACAAATGTGCTTTAATACAAATTACGCAGAGGTATAACGTGAATATTAGTAATGGTTTATTCAGTTTGGACCAGCTCAACTATGATCTCTTGGGACCCGATCCTTAACTGATAGTGTAAACTTAACTGATAGTCGTAAACTATCTGAAAACCCAATAACTCGTTACAAAGAGTTTGAATGTATATATCCTCACTTCCCTGGTTCCTCCCTATCCCCCTCCCTTCGCAATCATCTCCCCCTTTCCCTTCTCTCTCCCTCCCCCCCCCACACTCGTACCATTTCCCCTCCCACTTTCCAACCCCCTCCACCCCCTTTGCTCCATCCCCTTTGCCCCATCCCCTTTTCCTTGGTCCCTTTACCCTTTCATAAAATATATTAAGGGGGGGGGGAAGAGGCAATGACACTATTGTATTAAGGAAATACTTTTTCAGATGAAAAACTCGTCAGGAAACTCAACCAATATTTTACATATGACGTGAATTGAAGCCGTGAAAATCGGATTGGGAAGGGGGGGGGGGATTATTATCTAATATTGCATAAATCATTCAATTTAGGTCTACACCGATTAGTCTGTATCAATCCCACATCCCAGACCATTTCCCCCGGCAAATTTGGGTAAAGCTAGCCCCACTATCTATCTATCTATCTATCTACAAGTGTTCGTACCCCGTAGATAATGATATGGAGCTCTTACTGTTTTGGTAAGATCAATGAACGAGAAGTCGGCGTCGTGAAGGAACCTCGGTAGCACCACAGCTGACCTGAAGATATTGATCACAAGTTAAGGTGATATTAAATCAAAATCTGTACTATGAAGCACCACCTTTTTCACGGTCGTGTGTGTGTGTTCTGCTTGTATTCACCTAGTTGTGCTTGCGGGGGTTGAGCTTTGGCTCTTTGGTCCCGCCTCTCAACTGTCAATCAACTGGTATACAGATTCCTGAGCCTACTGGGCTCTATCATATCTACATTTGAAATTGTGTGTGTGTGTGTGTGTGTGTGTGTGTGTGTGTGTGTGTGTGTGTGTGTGTGTGTGTGTGTGTGTGTGTGTGTGAAGAAGTAAAACTCTTACCCGATGTCCTTAGTGATGGAGGAGCGAGCATGCTCCCACTCCCCTTCGCCCTCTACACAGAATCTTCTCAGCGACATTGGCACACCATCCTCGCTGAAATATCCCAAGTTAGCGTCTTTCATTTGCCCTTCTTGGCTGTCCCGCTGGTCTTCTTTCTCCTCTCCGTGTTTCGGGAAGGCGACAGCGAAGGTGGAGGCGGCTTCAAGACTGGAGCAGAGAGCCGGGAAGGTCCAGGGCCTCAGAGACTTCACTACCTCCCGCCTCAGAGCTCCTCGAATCAACAGAGGCTGGTAACTTTGCTCTATGAAGTTCATCGTCCTTAAATCCTTCCCGGCCACGGCCAGGACCTCGACCTCAGGCAGACACAGTGACCGCGAAGTCGCCGAGGCCCACAGCACGACCAGATACACCCACATGCTATAGTGGTCGTGGAGATCGTCTCAAATGGTAAACTTTGACTGTCCTGTCTTCTCAGTACTGTGTTTCTCTGACGCGTGCCTCAACCTGCCATGTATTGATTTCTTGAGGAATTAGGGGAACCTTACAAGACTAAAATAAAAACACATTTTAACTACCAATCTAATTAAATAAAACAAAAATTCAGAAAAGCATTCTAGTATTTAAATTTCACGTTAGATAAACATATATATATATATATGTTGCCTGTAGCTATGATGAATTGGCAGTCTTACGGGAATATGGTGTAAGATATCAGTGGTCGTCACTTCCTTGTCGCTGTTATCTTGTGATATCAGCCAGGTAAGGCGAGCAGATGCTGGTGAGTGCTGGGAGAGAACACCTGATGTGCCACCTCCTGCTGGAGACGCCTCTGCTGCCCTCTAGTGGCTAGTGGTACTCCTGCTGCCCTCTAGTGGCTAGTGGTACTCCTGCTGCCCTCTAGTGGCTAGTGGTACTCCTGCTCCTTCTAGTGGCTAGTGGTACTCCTGCTCCTTCTAGTGGCTAGTGGTACTCCTGCTCCTTCTAGTGGCTAGTGGTACTCCTGCTCCTTCTAGTGGCTAGTGGTACTCCTGCTCCTTCTAGTGGCTAGTGGTACTCCTGCTCCTTCTAGTGGCTAGTGGTACTCCTGCTCCTTCTAGTGGCTAGTGGTACTCCTGCTCCTTCTAGTGGTACTCCTGCTCCTTCTAGTGGCTAGTGGTACTCCTGCTCCTTCTAGTGGCTAGTGGTACTCCTGCTCCTTCTAGTGGCTAGTGGTACTCCTGCTCCTTCTAGTGGCTAGTGGTACTCCTGCTGCCCTCTAGTGGCTAGTGGTACTCCTGCTCCTTCTAGTGGCTAGTGGTACTCGTGATACACCACCAACACCGCCCCTTTAACCGCCTACCTCCCTCATGAAACCCTTCCCTACCTTCCTCCCTCACTACCCCAACTTTCTGAGCCTTCCCTACGCCGTCTCACCTTCCCTCCCTCCCTCTCTCTCTCTCTCTCTCCCTCCCTCATTACCCTCTCCTACCCTTCCCTCTCCTCACAGTAAGCGCGGGTCAGCAGGAAGGTAAGGAGTCAGTCAGGCTGACAAGCTACCCATTGTTTGGTAATTTGGGCCTGCCATTGCGATAGGGCTTCTTTAATTATACAATTGCGGGCGTCTCCTGAATTGAAAATAGCGCCAAGATTTCTATATACACTATCACAAAGGTGGAGCAACGGCTGCTCCGTCCACGTCACTCATTACTGCTTGAGTTATGGCGCCTCCTCCGTGAGCTGGGTGTTGAGGTCCAGTGTAGGTGAGGGTGTTGGAGGTCCTGTGTAGGTGAGAGTGTTGGAGGTCCAGTGTAGGTGTGTTGGAGGACCTGTGTAGGTGTGTTGGAGGTCCAGTGTAGGTGTGTTGGAGGGCCTGTGTAGGTGTGTTGGAGGTCCTGTGTAGGTGTGTTGGAGGGCCAGTGTAGGTGAGGGTGTTGGAGGGCCTGTGTAGGTGTGTTGGAGGTCCAGTGTAGGTGAAGGTGTTGAGGTCCAGTGTAGGTGAAGGTGTTGAGGTCCAGTGTGGGTGAGTGTGTTGGAGGTCCAGTGTAGGTGAGTGTGTTGGAGGTCCAGTGTAGGTGTGTTGAAGTGCCAGTGTAGGTGAGTGTGTTGGAGGTCCAGTGTAGGTGAGTGTGTTGGAGGTCCAGTGTAGGTGAGTGTGTTGGAGGTCCAGTGTAGGTGTGTTGGAGGTCCAGTGTGGGTGAGTGTGTTGGAGGTCCAGTGTAGGTGAGTGTGTTGGAGGTCCAGTGTAGGTGAGTGTGTTGGAGGTCCAGTGTAGGTGAGTGTGTTGGAGGTCCAGTGTAGGTGAGTGTGTTGGAGGTCCAGTGTAGGTGAGTGTGTTGGAGGTCCACTAATATTCTTACTGTTTTCATCATTCTTATCAATATTCGCCTCTCATTTATTCTCCTGGTCTCTCCTTCCTTCCCCAATCCTTATTCCCATTCTCTCTCTCTCTCTCTCTCTCTCTCTCTCTCTCTCTCTCTCTCTCTCTCTCTCTCTCTCTCTCTCTCTCTCTCTCTCTCTCTCTCTCTCTCTCTCTCTCTCTCTCTCTCTCTCTCTCCTCTCTTCTCGTGTCAAAATAAGTTGTGGTAGAAGGAACGCAGTAGCAACAGTTTCACTCTCCTCTTTCCGCCCCACACTTTGGCCCACAGCTCACCCGCCCACGCCCACAGCTCACCCGCCCACGCCCACACAATGGCCATTGTAACTGCCTCCGCCGCCTCTCTGCCCAGTCCTCCCAAGCGGCCTAATGACGTGTTAGTGATCTCGCCGCACTGTTCTTATAATTACCACGACGTGCATCTGCTGCTTGCCTTCGTACACACAACAGTGAGTGTCGATTCGTACATGCGTAGGTGCGTGAGTTTGTGTGTGTGTGTGGGTGAATGTGCACCTGTGTGTGTGTGTATGTGTGTGTGTATGTGTGTGTGTGTGTGGACTCACTTAGCTGACTAACTTAGCTGATCTTGCAGGGAGGGCTGAGCCTCAGTTCTTGGAGTCCCACTTCTGTCAAATAGTGTTCAATCATGCCTCCATGTGAGCCCCATGGATAAAAAAATGGCTGTTAGAATTCAACGCAGCCGAATGCAAAGTTATGAGAAAAGGAACGGAAGTGAAAAAAACCGTAACAGCAGCATAGGATAACGCGGAGGCAGATGCAGGCAGAATCGGGGATAGACCTGTGAGGAGACCTGACCCTAAATCTAATGCCAGAACACACAGCATAACGACAGCAGCATCTGGTTTACCGCGTATCCATTAGAGTCGTGGACAAACGAGGCTTCCGGGCGCAATACTCCTCTAAGGTGAGACCCACTCTTGAATATGCATACCCGGCATGGAACCCTCATCTGAAATATGCAAATCTAAGAACGTATAGCTTATACACACACACATGCGGACACACACACACACACACACACACACACACACACACACACACACACACACACACACACACACACACACACACACACACACACACACACACTCACACACACGAATGTGGATATGGTAGAGCTCGGTAGGCTCAGAAATCTGTACACCAGTTGATTGACAGTTGAGAGGCGGGACCAAAGAGCCAAAGCTCAACCCCCACAAGCACAAATAGGTGAGTACACGAACTAGGTGACACAGGTGGAAATTGAGTGCCCAAATGAGCCACAGAGATGTCAGAAAGAACTTTTTCAGTGTCAGAGTAGTTGACAAATGGAATGCATTAGGCAGTTTTTTTTTTATTATTATTTTCTACCACAGACGTGGCCACACATTTACAATGCTAACCAGCATATATACATTTTCTTCTGTCCTCCATGGACAGTGTTAGAGAAATGTTAAACATAGAATTCAAGGGTTTATTGAACACTCAACCACAGAAGGTGAATCGGTGCTTTTAAAATGCTAAGCTAACCTACATACGTAAATACATAGATACACAGATTTACGTATGCCCTACATAAAGTGTTTGATGTGTGGTGGAGGCTGACTCCATACACAGTTTCAAATGTAGATATGATAGAGCCCAGTAGGCTCAGGAATCTGTACACCAGTTGATTGACAGTTGAGAGGCGGGACAAAAGAGCCAGAGCTCAACCCCCGCAAGCACAAATAGGCGAGTACACACACACACACACACACAAACAGTATAGAGCCCAATAGGCTCAGGAATCTGTACACCAGTTGATTGACAGTTGAGAGGCGGGACAAAAGAGCCAGAGCTCAACCCCTGCAAGCACAAATAGATGAGTACACACACACACGGACTCGGAGTGCTACGACAAAAATAACAAACAATTGAGAGAGGAACAGCTGTGGCTGGTGTGAGAGGTTGCTGATACACTCCTTAGCACAAGGGGGACAGATGTGGCCAGCAGGTCCTGTAACATCTGGGCCCAGCTGAGCCATGAGCAACTTTGCCCATTGCTACAAGAAACCACAGTAACTTCGTTGCAAGAGATAGCTGTTTTCTAAAGTGCAAATGACAACATTGTACCTTAGTGTGAGGTCCACGTGTGTCCTGCAGCTGCCTCAGGAGTGTTAGACTGCTGCTTCTAACAGTGAAGCAGCAAAGACAGTAAACTGCTTTCGATGCCCAACCCACAAATCTGGAAATGACGATTTGGACAACATTTCGGTCCATTTATTCGGTTCAAGACGTGTGGGGCGTAGTATACACGTCTTGGACCATCACCCATGCCTTGGGCACCGTGCCCACACCCAGCACGAGACACAGAGGGCCCCATCACCCCATGCCAGGGGCACTATACCCACACCCAGCACGAGACACAGAGGACACCATCACCCCATGCCAGGGGCACTATACCCACACCCAGCACGAGACACAGAGGGCACCATTACCCACGCCTGGGGCACCATACCCACACCCAGCACGAGACACAGAGGGCACCATTACCCACGCCTGGGGCACCATACCCACACCCAGCACGAGACACAGAGGGCACCATCACCCCATGCCAGGGGCACCATACCCACACACAGAAGGAAATAACGCCAAAGGTATCCCCGCGGTGGGCATCAGGCGGTCGAGACTTCAGTCTTGTGGAGACACGCCTGTCGTTACCATATCATTATATACTAACCAACTTAAATGCATCCTTAATCACCAGCCTTACAGAAGCTCTTTGCCCTTTTGGAAGAACTCTGAGGAGATTAGTCCAAGAGGTTGTTAAGCTCACTCTCAGCCCCTGTCTTAAAATCACCTACTGGAGCGTAATTATAATTTGGTGAAGGGTGCTTTAGTATTGGTGGGTGTAGTGTTGCTGGGTGTAGTGTTGCTTGGTGTAGTGTTGCTGGGTGTAGTGTTGCTTGGTGTAGTGTTGCTAGGTGTAGTGTTGCTGGGTGTAGTGTTGCTGGGTGTAGTGTTGCTTGGTGTAGTGTTGCTAGGTGTAGTGTTGCTTGGTGTAGTGTTGCTGGGTGTAGTGTTGGTGGGTGTAGTGTTGGTGGGGTGTATTGTTGCTTGGTGTAGTGTTGCTGGGTGTAGTGTTGGTGGGTGTAG